AGGTAGCACTCTCTCCACCCACAGAATCTCTGCCCCTTTCCTCTAGAAGCTTTCCTGGCTGCCACGCACAGAATACCCACCCAGGCTACCCCCTGCATAAGGGCTTCTGGCTCCACCTCATCAGACACCAGCCCCAAATAAATCATTTCATAGTCTTTTTTGCTGCAAAGTATGTCCAAATAGAGGGCCCTCTAGCCTGCTTTAATTAACTCAGTGATGGCTTGCATGTAAGTGGGCATTCTTCTGCAGGCTGTGAGAGTATTGTTTTAAGGATGGGATAGCTTTGCTCCTGGCCACACTTCCCTCTGACAAGCTCCTGTGTACACAAAGACCCTTGAAAGTTATTTATGCAGTTGGGCAGCAGTCCCCCTCTGCAGAGACCCCTTGGATACGTGAGAGCTTAGGGGGCGGCCTGGCCTTTCTGGGACCCTCTCCATGGGACCCACCCCTCCTTTACTCAGTGTTGTCCGGGTCAAGCTGCTGCCCCGTGACCTGTGCCTTCCCATCAGCTCTGCCCTGGTAATGTGGTTCAGCATCAGCTGCTTGAGGTTGTTACTGCACTGGAGCTGGAGTTCCCACGGAGGGCTGCATTCCTGGGATGATCTTCTTTCCTCTCCTCTCCCACCCACCCAGGGGATGCTGGCTAACCACAGTCCATCCTGCTCTCTGGGCAGCGAGCTCCCCAGAGGCCCTTCCAGGCCACCCCAATCCTCCTCCAGGCTGCCCTCCCGGATGAACTACCTGCCCTCCACATTTGCTTTGTCCTCCACTCTGTGCCCTCACAGATCACTGGGCACATGCGTGGGTTCTTCTCTGCACGCATGATGTCATTTCTCCTGGGTGGTCCGTTCCCCCTTTCAGACTGAGTACTGCAGGCAGGGGTCTGATTTCCCCTGAAGAGTGGCAGACTCTGGAGGAAGGGGCCTGTTCCTCTCCCATCAGGAACCCCAGCTCCCCAGCTTGGTGTCTGCCCAAGAAACCTGCCTGCCTGACACATACAGGGGGACAGTCCCCATCCCCATCCCTCTTTGCGCCTTCGTGGTGTCCCTTTCAGCACTGTGACCTCAAACCCAAGGCGGCACTGAGTAGAGACTGGCACAGCTGATGGAGCCCAGGGACAGCAGAGGGCCACTGAAGCCTGTTTCCTCACCTGTGTCCTCCCCACAGCAGCTGCCCAGCCAGATGGAGGAGGGACAGAGCAGGGTGGGCAGCAGCAGGACGGATGGGATGAGAGCTTTACACCTGAGGCTGGAAGCCTGTCAAGCTAGAAGGCACTAGAAGGATCATCAGGCCCTGGGTCCTAGTGGAGGATCATTATCCCTCTGCATACATGGGCTTACAGCCACTCAGCCAGTCACTGAAAGAGTAGGAGCTCCCACCAAGTCCCCAAAGTCCCAGATGGGTGCTCCTGCCCCTAGATCAGAGTGAGTTTCTGAGCTCCTGGTCACCCTGAGGAGGGCAGTGTGGGGCAGTGGGAAGATGTGGAACTTGGAGCCCAGGAACTTTGAATCCTGACTCTGCTATGTAGCATGACGCAAATCACACAACTCTCCTGAAACTTGGTTTTGCCATCTGTAAAATGGGTACAATAGTAGTACTCACCTTACTTGGGTGTTATGATTGTCACTGAAATGATGGCCATAAAGTGCTTGGTAGTTAGTGAGCTCTCAGTAAGTAAACGTGAGTGATCATTAAATACTACTTGGTCTGTGCTTGGCACTCTGCTGGATCTGTGCCAAGGTGTAATAAGTGCTCATGGATCCATTGTAGCAAGGATAAGGATGTTCCCTGCTTCCCAGTTTCTCTGGCTTGGCCCCAGAGGCTGAGGGCACAGCCAGAGCTTAGGACAAGGGAAGCCTCACTGCTAGCTCCACGCACGAGGCATCTCCACTTGAGCCACCAGCTCCCGAAGCAGGCCAGCTTGGCACATGGTTAGGAAAGACTGCTGCTTCTATGCTCTGGTCAGGGGATGGCTGTCTCCTACTGCAGTTGCCTGGGGATGAAGAGCACGGTGGAGAGGGGGGTCCTCAGCCATGTGGCCCCCCAGCCATGATGGCGAGCTCATGTATCTACGGTGAAGTCACAGTCCTCCATCTACCCCAACAGCATCCACGATTGCTGCCTTCAGTGAGGACTGCAGCCTTGCCCCCAGCACAGCGACCCTTAGGACACTCTTCCCTACTCCCTGCCAGTGTCCATCTCTCCAGCCTTGTCCCCCTCCCCCTGGCCAATGTCATCAGTTGCCTCTGGACACAGCAAAGAGTGGCTGGGATTGGGGCTGCCTCCAGGTCACTTCTAAACTTGAGAAGTGAGGCAATTCCTTGCCTTCTCTGTGCACGTATCTTCGTATACAACATGGGAGTAGGAGTTCTTACCTCCAAAACTCTTGGTAGAAATACAAGTGGTGAGCTAGGGGCCTCTTTGGGGGACCAGCAGATATTACCTAGTCATGGTAATTTCCATAGTGTTTACCAATGGGGAGCTGAGGGCTCAGAGCTCATGCTATACCGGCTGAAGGTCACCCAGCAAACACACTATCAGACCCTGTAAGTCCCTGCCAAGTTGTCTTGGGGTGCTCAGTTCCTTCAAGTAAGTGTCCTTCTCCAGCACATTGACTGTATTTGTGATTTTCTCGGTTTGGTTCCAAACTGCCCTTGCCCCAGGAGCTTTCTCTTTCAGGGAGCGCCGTACGTGGTGCATAGTAAGTGCTCAGTCAGTATCTGTTGAAGACCAGCGTTGGGGAGCAGCCAGGTCTGGTGTGGGGAGGGATGTACAGCGTAGAGCTGGCCCAGGTGAGGACAAGCTGCAGCGGGTTCTCCACGGCTTCCCATATCTCTGCCCTGCCTTCCCTGGGTGGCTGTCTGAGAAAACTCATTTTGCTCACGAGCTGATTCATGGGCCCAGTTCCCCGGGGCTCCCTGAGCAGCTCTCTTCAATAACTATTCTTTACAAGGTCCTGCGATTCATTTTCAGGGTTGAAGACAAATTTTTAAAGAGGAGTTCAGTGCCAGGGCCATTCCAGAAGGGCTGTCAGCTTCATCCGCCTAGTTCCTGCAAAGCCTGCTCCTGCTGGCTTGGACTCTGAGAGGGTCAGGCATTGCTGCTGTAGCAACTGCTTCTGGGCTGTTGTGAGCGGACAGAGTTGTGAGAGCTGGGGACAAAGGGGCACAGCCCAGGGCAGCTCATGTGGCTCTGGCTTTGTTCTGAGGTCTGTCGTGTGACTTTCAGCCAACGGTGCCTCTTCTCTGGGTCTTCATCTCTAGGTTGGTGAAAGCAGACAGGGCCAATGCCATTCCCGTGGTGTCCACTTTCCTCCGTGCAAGGCAGGTCCCTGCAGGTCTCAGCAGTGAAGCAGCAGCTCATGTCCCCTCCTATAGCCTCCACAGGGGATGAGGCAGTTGGCGAATCTGGCACTGAACCACTGCGTGCACTAGCTCTGTGCAGACTGCCCCTCAGTCAGCCTCTCTGCTGCTGCATCCTCCCAATCCTTCTCCCAGCCCCTTCCCTCCTATCTTCCACCTGGGGACAGGGGATGAGTTGGACCTCAAATATGAACCTGAGCCCACCACACTCGCTGTCCTCCCCACCTTTGTATGGATGCCATTTGTCTTTCTCTATTGCCAAAGATTCACGCTCTGCTCTGCACACCCACTCTCTACCTTCCTTGACCATTCTTGGCCATGTTCTCAACAAACATAGCCCAAGTATTTCTTCCCGTCTTCTGTGCCCCAGCAAGGGCAAAGCTGTATGGCCATCTCAGATGGCGGGAAATTGGCCTGTCTGATCTTCCCTGGGGGCTCTGGAGGCTCCTGGAAGACAGGCTCGTAATGTTTGTCAGGAACCCGCCAACTCCAGGCACCATGTTAGGCACAATGGGTTATGAGTCACCGAGACCTCCGTGCCCCTCTGGGGTCCTCCAGGAGCTCAGGGTGAGGGCGGACTCATAGCATGTGTTTGTTGCACTAGGAGCCCAGTGGCTGGGCACTGTGCACAGCTTTTCAGCAGCTGACCCCTTGCAGCTCAGCTAACGCATGGTGGGCAGAGATGGCCAGCCTCTGGTGTCTCAGAACTCACCTAACTCGCAAACTAATCCACGGTGGGGCAAAGTCCATTTACTGAGACCCTCTTTGAGCAGTAGTCTATGCCAGGTTCCCTGTCTGCTACCGGCCACTGCGTTGTGTATTTTACACACATGATCTCATTTAAATCTCAGGACACCCACAGAGCTGCTGAGATGGGTGGATCAGATAGTCTCAGAAACCAGGCTTCTTTCAGTTCAGGCAGTGGCGTGTTCTAGTGGTGCCAGAACAGCTCCTACATGCCGTAGATCTCTTCCCAGAGAGATGAGCTGCAATTTCTCCACTCCAAGATGGTTGCTGTCCAGAGCCCTGAAGGCTGACTAGACATCCTGGCAGCTCCTGCCTGCTCTGGTCTGGAGCTCCTGAGCCTGCCACTTTCCCTGTGTTGTTGCTTGTGCTGAGACCACTGAGGCCCAGTGTATGCTTCGTACAGCCTCTCTCAGCTGTGGGAGGGGCACTACACCCAACCATCTTCTCCGCCATGGAACCCCAGGCTCTCCCCTCGAGACTTAGGGGAGAGAAGAAGGCTTCCTTCAGAGTGTGGGAGGCAGGTTATAGTGCAGGAAATGAGCATGCTCAGACTGACACAGTAAGCCTCTCCCCACATTTTGGCGCCCTCCCATCCTTGCAGCTTCTCTGCAGGTCCCAGGGTTTGACCTTCCCTCTCTCCTCTGAGCCAAGCACACCAGACTCCCAGAGGAGCCACATCTTCTCAAGGGCATGTTTCCAGGTTGCTGCATTCGTCATCCCTGGATGTGGGCATCCCCATGGCTCCAGAAAGTCTCACTGGGCCTGCTTGTAGGGGAAGGAGTGCAGGACCAGTGTCTGTGCGTGCGTGTGTGTATGCACACGTGCATGCATATACGTGCATGTGTGTGTACATGCTCATGCACACAAGGAAGAGACAGAGCCAGCCACGTGTACTGTCTGTTTGCTGGGAGCTGCTGCCCCCACCCCCAGTCTGATGGCCTCCCTTTATTTATGAAAAAATCTGACACAGTGGTGGGTAGAACCCAGAGAAAGTGGCCAGGGGATGGGGAAGAGGAGGTGCCAGCTCCCTCCGGCCTTAGTGCTCCCCAGGTCCCTCACACCCTCCCAGGTGCCCTCTCCTCCCAGCCAAGGACTCTGCGCTGGGGAGATGGTGGCTGCCCACCTTGTGGCACAGAGGGAAGCAGAGTGAGCACAGCCAGGCGGTTAAGGCGTGCTAGTGTCGATCTTGCTGTGGAGGAGGGGCACCCAGTTTCCTTGGGCCCTGAGGACCACAGTGTGGGGGTGAGGTGTGATCAGAGAGAGATGAGGACTCTTTCTGCCTGAGGCCCTGTCACAGCCCTGGAAGAACCCAGGAAGGTGCCTAGACACCTCTGTAGAGTCAGCCCCAGGGCCTGGGAGGCATCTGGATGCTGGCAGTTCCCACAACTGTCCCCAAACCCCCAAACGTTTTGTCCAAAGTAAGATCCTTGGCAAGGTGGGCAGCTGCCACCTCCCCACCCTGCAGGATGGAAATCCCTGAATATTGGTTTGAGAAAAGTCTTTGTGCAGCCTGTGACACAACACCCCCCAGGTCGCCCCGCATAGTGGGGAAAGACAGGGTGCTTGGGAGGCAGGGCCGGGCACAGTGTGGGCTCCCCTCGCGCAGGAGCCAGTGGCCTCCAAGCCTCACTCTTGGGGCTGGCGATGCTGGAGACAGGGCAGAGGTTTGGAAAGGGTAGAGCTAGGCTGAGATCACTTTCCTCCTGCAAGCCTGGGAGGAAGGAGACCTCCACCTGCAGGGGGCAGGAGAGGGCAGAGGTGGGCGACTGGCAGGGCCACACAGGGAGGTGGCTGCTGGCTCAGAGCAAAGCTGCAAGGGCAAGGGCTAGAAAACCAATCAGCTGGCCCTGCATCAGTGTGAGCTGGGGGTCCTGGCTGAGTCCCACCCGGAGCAGACCGCACGGAGGATGTCCCAGCCACCCCGGGTGGTGCTTTTATGCAATCTCTTTGATTCTGCGCATGTAATTGTGCAGGTCTGGAGGTGGAGTAGGCCTTGTGGTGCCCGCCACATCCGGGCAGCTCCAACCCAGTTCCTCTTCATCCTCCTCCTCCTCCTCACCCGCGGGCACTGAGTCATAGGCCAGCTCCTCCGAGGGCAGTGTGGTGAAGGTGGTAAACTTCACCCTCTTGCGCTTGGACGTGGGAGAGCTGGCAGGGTCCTCGGCCTGGTCCCGCGCTGAACCACCAGAGGAGCCATCGCCCCGGCCATGCACCTGGCTCTGGACGCTGGTCTGCGAGCTGCCGCTGCTGTGGTGGTCACCGTGGCAGCAGGCGGGCACAGTCTCCAGTGCATTGCCCGCCGGCGGGGAGAGCTCGCCCTGTACCCTCAGGGGCTGCCCGTTGCCCAGGAACACCCAGTGGTGGGAGTGGTCCATGCTGGTCTGGCCCTCAGGCGGGATGCGCTTGTGCCGGTATCGCAACACAAAGACGATGCAGTTGATGAGGAAGACGAGGATGGCGAGGCAGAAGACACCCAGCAGTGCGTACATGCCAATCTCCAGGTCGGTCAGACCCCGCGGCATCTGCAGGAAGCCAGTGGGCAGCGGCAGGAAGTCTTCTGTGGGTGGCACGGCTGGGTTGGATGTGCCTAGGCCCGGACCCTCCAGGGCAGGGACTGCCGTGCCTGGTGGACCAGCTCCTCGAGCTTCCTCCTCACCTCCACCAGGTCCCGGATGGCTGGGGCCCGGGTAGTCGTAAGTGGGGTCCTCCTCGTCACGCCCGAAGTGTACCCGCAGGCCCACAGGGGTTGTGGCCAGCACACTCTTGCGCTTGGTTTTCTGGCAGCTCTCAGCAATGGTGAGCTCGGCACGGAGCAACTCCCCTGACCCCTCAGCCTCGGCCACCACCAGCGGAAAGGCCCGGTCCTGGGTCACTGTGGCCACCCGCTCATCCAGGCTGCTCACCAGCAGCCCATAGTCCCGGGGGCTGTAGAGGGAGAGTGGGGCTGTGGTGCCATCACTGTAGGAGAGCCACAGGCTCAGAAGGGCTTCCTGGAGGAAGAGGAGGAGGGGACAGGAGTCAGAGCCTGCTCTGGGGCTGTCTGGCTAGATCCCACCCTGAGCTTTCGAGGCCAAGGCCCAAGGGCTTCTGGCCCCTGCTGTGCCCCCGTGATGAAATGGAACCTGGCATGGGGCAGGCACTAAGGAACCCTCCCATGGATAGAAGTGCTCCCTTCCCACAGGTATGCAGAGGGTGAAGAGCAGGTTGTGGGTGGCATCTGGACCTCACACAATCCTGAAATTCTCCTTTTTTGATAAACTGAAGATAAGTTCTGCAGAGGCAGCCCCATATGTCCGTGCTTGACTTTGGAAACTCAACCAGCCTCAAGCTAATGAGAGAACCTGTCCCCAGCCTCCTCCTCCTTCAGCCAAGATCATCTGGGGCTCACTCTCCCTGCAGATTTGGGGGCTGAGCCCAGAGAGAAATGATGGCCTGGGCACACAGTGTTAGGGCAGAGACTTCTGTGTCCTGGCTCCTGGCCCACTGCTGACACCCACTTCCTCACTCCTTTGTCCTCTCACCTGCCACCTCCCCACCTTGATCTTGTAGCCAGTGCCCATGGTGTGTGGCTGGGTGGGTTTGGGGACTTCCTGGGGGGTGAGGCAGAGATGATTGCTTTCTGGGAATCCAGGATGGACCCTCTGGAGAACTGTCTCAGGGTGGCAAGTGGAGCAAGTGAGACCACACCCAGATTCTGCAGGGAGCAGTGGCTGGGGCAGGTGAGTAGGGAGCTGAGGGCAGACAGATCACCCATTACCTGAAGTCCTAAGGCAGCGAGTCATGGCGCAAGAGTAAGACAGAGTCCCCCAATGTACACTCCATATTATCCGGCTGGTTACCTGGGAACCAGTTACCTGCTTGAGGAAGCTGAGGGTCTGTTGTGCAGCTGTGGTGGCCAGGATGGTGTGGCTGCTCCCAGGACTGGGCCGCAGGGAGAGGGCCAGGCTGGTTACCACTTGGGCCTGCAGCTGCGTGATGCTGACCTTCTCTTCTGTCACTGTCAGCAGCGTCTCTCCCAGCACAGCCTCTGTCAGCGGGGACACCACCTGAGGCAGACAGGGTAGGGGTGGGACAGAGTCCTGGGTGGGGGGACAGCAGCATCCCCTACCCAGGGCTCCTGCCTCGGGTCTCCAGCACTCCTGGAAGAGAGCCCCATGTGGTGGGTGTGGCAGGGAGGCAGGACTCCAAGTCCTGCAAGTGGGAACAGGAGAGTCAGAGGCTCAGGTGGGAACACAAGTAAGATAGGTGAGCTGATTTTAAGGAAAGAAGCCACCCCCAGTGATAAATGACAACTGATGTTCACCCTCATATCAGGGGGACAAAAGGGAGTGGTGGGGACTGTGGCGAATGGGAGACCCCATGCTCAATTAAAGGGGGCACTCAGGATGGGGCTAGCTAATTTACTGGCTGAGACTGCAAGTCTGATGTTGCCAGATTCACTTTCTAGTAAACCCAAAAATCTAGATCATCTTTTATAATGAGAAATCTCTCAATTTTGAAATGTTGGATCACTGTTTTTGATACCAAATATGTCTGCAGGCAGACTATTTACAATCTCTTAGGTAAAAGACTTCTACCCAGATACCCAATTGTGTGAAAGGAAAGTCGAAGTTAGGTTCCTATGTCCCCAAACTTGCCTTCCTGTTGTTTCCTCACCTCCCCATACCTGTTCTAGGGGCCAGGTACATGGAGAGTGCTCAGCGAGGAAAGGTGGATACACGGTGCTATAGCTTGGAGTGAGAACCTGGCCAAGAGGACACTAAAAGAGTTTGATCTTGGTTGCTGCCATTTTGGGTAGAGGACAGGTGGGAAGGAACTGAACCTGGGGCCAGCTGGGGTTGGTGAGAGGCTGAGGCCCTTGACAGTGTTCAGACACACCCAAGCCTACCTTAAAAGGGGTGGTGCCTGGCTCCAGGCCAGCCAGGGTGCTGCTGTCCACCATGTGTGCCACACGGGGGTCGCCCACCCGCATGAAGTCACTGACCAGGTCCGTGACCTCCACCAGCCAGTCTGGGCCCAGCATGGTGACCACCTGGTCGGTGCCCTCGGATGACGTCGTGTGGAACTGGGTGAAGACCTGCAGGGTGGAGTGCTGGTACTGCAGGGTGCAGCCCCTGCTGGCACTCTGGCGCCGCTCCTCCTCCTCTTCATCCTCGTCCTCGCTCTCCCGGGCTGACCTGGGGCGGGCATGTGCCAACGTCAAGGCTGGTGGGGTGAAGGGCCCCCTGCCTGGCTGTGACCCCTGCCCTGCTGGCTCCTCTCCAGCTCCCTGTGGGGTGGAGAAGCTCTACAAAGAGCAAGCCAATTCCCCAGCTCGTGCCTTTCCTCTCTGTGTGCGCCAGGAGTCCCAGCTCTCTCCTTCTGGAAAGCGGGCTTCTCTGAGTTTGTTTTCAGTGCTGGGAATGAAATCCAGGGCCTTGCACACGCTAAGCACACTTTCTGTCATTGAGTCCCATCTCCAGCTCCTTTGACCCCTGTCATCCGTGTCTGGGAATAGCTGCCGAATAATCCCAACAGTAACTGCTTCTCTCCTGTGTGCCTGGCATTGTGTGGACACTAAACTGGAGTGGGTAAGCAGCTCCTTGCCATGCAGTGCCACAGACTTAGCTGAATTGGGTCCCGGAGATGTATGGGAAGTAGAATTTGTAAGTGACAAACTTGGATGTCACTTAACAAACTTGGATGACAAACTTAGGAGATTTCCAAGCCCAGCATGGAAGGTTCCAGTAAAATGTGAGAGGAAGAGAAAAACTGTCATGCAAAAAGGAAACCTGGACTTGAGTAGGGAAATCCTTAACCCAGGAAAACTGGCAAAGATGCTAAAATCAGACTTGTGGCCACGAAGGCATGTTTTGGAGATAAACCATCTGGTGCTTGGTTAGTATCAACCAAGCAGAATATTCATCCACACAGGGGGCTCTTTTCCTCGTGTTAACCAATTCAATCCTCACAAAAATCTTAGGAGGTATTGCCTTGCCCATTATACAGGTAAGAAAATAAGACACAGAGAAGTTCTGTAAGTAGCTCAAGATCACGCAGCTGGTAAATAATAGGATTTAAAGGACGCTGTTGGCTTCAGAGTTCACTACATCCTTACTACTTAGAGTGGCATCCCCATCATCACAGGGGTCCACACTGCAGACTCACAGGCTTTACTCCAAACCAGCAGGCTCTAAAGCTGCATTCTACCAGGATGCCCAGGTGGCTGTGAGCACATTTGAGCTAGAGTGGCTGTGGCTGACACTGGCTTGCTCTTGCAAATCACCATGGAACTGCACTCAACCCAGCACCCCATGGCTGCCTGTTTCTCTCTCCCGCCCTGTCTCCCAGCTGCCCGACTCTTTCCTTTGCTTCTGTCTTCTGCTGGGCTTTCGCTCTGCAGCACAGAGTGGGTGAGTGGAGCATGCGAGGCACACAGGAACATGCCCCCAAGATAAGCCACAGGTGTGTGAACTGCACTTCAGCCGGGCAGTAGGGTGCATCACGGTGTGCCAGTGTTTATGGACTTAGGATCTGGCCGCTGGTGTGCTCAGGCTGGGGTGCACGCAGACAGGTGTCTGTGCCCGTCCTGTGACTGCTAGGTTTTGTCAGCCTGATTGTTTTCTTTCTCTGTCCCCCTGGCCTCTCCTTCCACCTGTCCATGAAGACATAGCTCAAGAGTGAACTCTTCCAAGATGCCTCCCTTGATTTCTGCTGGGGAGAGTGGAGGTCTTCTTTTTGTGCATTTGACTCTGCACACAAGGCATCCTATCACCAGTGTGCCCTGTGGCATGTGCATGACTGGGTTCCCTCCTGGGGAGAGCTGGGCTGAGTCAGGCACTTGGCCACGGTCACCCTGCATCTCAAATACCTGTCAGTGCCCCGTGCCTAGTAGCTGTTCAGTCAAAGTTTGTTGCATGCACAACTGACTCATAGACTGTGTGCCTAGGGCCTTATACACATATACAGATCAGACTATGCTGAGGCTGTGTCCCCCCGAGGGTGTCCTGAGAGGGCACTGTACCTCCGGTCGGGGAGGATAGGTACCCTCCAGCCTTTCACTTGGCTGAGGCGGGCATCTGAGAGCTCAATGTGCAGAGGCAGCTTTGGGACCCAGACGGTCATTTCCAGGGGGGCACTGAGGACATCGTAGCGGAAGGTGACCCTCGCGTTCATGGACCCCCGAGACTCCTTTCCACTCACAAATACATAGTCGCAGCTGCTGGATACCTAGGGAGAAGGAGGAGCAAGATGACCATCTTACCCTGCAGGTCTTCCAAGCATGGGAAGGAGGCTGTGAGAGGGAGGATGAGAGAGCGAAAGCAAGAAAGGAAAAGAGAGGGAGAGAGAGAGAGGGAGACAAGGACAGGCAGAGACAGAGACAGAGATAGAGACAGAGACGGAGACAGAGACAGACAGTCAAGACTGCAGGGGAGGGGCCAAGTAGAGAAGGCACTGACACCTGTATCTCTGTCTCTCCTTGCTCTCCAGAGATCATTCCTCTGGGTCCAAGGCAGGAGATGTTTTGCCCCTGCCAAGGGGTCAACGGGCAAACATGTTTACTAGGGGCTGTTTCTGACTTGTGGGAGCTACAAGTGGAGGGTGGTCAGTGTCAGATGGGAGGCTGCTTAGCCAGGGGTGGAGCTGAAGAATTGGGGAGGAAAGCCTCGATCTAAGAGCATGGATTTGGCCTGGGGGAAGCTTCCAGCATGTTCCCACTTGGGTAGCAAGCTGCATTCCTCGAGGTTCTCTGGGTGGAACCACATGTCACTGGGCACATGTTGGTGGAGACCAGTGCCTACTCACAGAGGGGCACTGCCAGAGCTCCAGGGCAAGTGTAGATGGCTGTGTGTGAAAGCGTGCCCACGCATACACCTGGCACCCTGGAGCAGATCCTGCACGCACATGTGTCTTGGGTGCTTGCCTATAAATGCTCATGGACCAGGGCCTTCAGACTGTGGGAAGATCCTTCATGCAGCCAGTGGGCTGGTAGCACCTGGAAGGCCCTGTGGGGGTGGGTGCTAGGATGGTGGCTTATCATGAGATGAGCCCCTGGACCACCCCAACTCCTGCCAGCTCCCTGAAGCATCTCACAGGTAGGTAGAAGGAAGTGTGGACAGCAGCCCTGCCAACAATGTTCATTTCCCACCTGGGAAGGCAGAGAGTTCCATCTGCAGGCTGGTGAGTTCCATTTAGAATGCTGACAAACCCTGCACAGAACCTGAGTGTGTTTCATTGAGTTTCATAACAAATTCCATTTAGAATCCTCCTTAATTCCCTTCTGTAGGTGAGCCATCACTGGGCTGGGACAGTCTGGGTAGAGAGGAGGCGCTGGATGAGGGCTCGTGGGAGCAGGTGCATTTGGTGTTGTCCCAGCCTGCAGCAGCAGATGGCCCCATGGTCTGGAGCAGCAAAACCCCCATGCCAATGGAGGGGTGCCGTGTGCTGAGCCTCTGCTCTGACTCACTGGAGGTCAGAAGTGGACGTGGAGCCCCAAGCTCCCAGACCTAGAGGGCCCCAGAGGCAGTGCACGGAGAAAGAGTATGTGAGAAAGTCCAGAGATGTCCTGCTGGAGCCTGGCACAGCACACAGCTCACCCACCCTGTGGGGATTGGGGCTGGGCGCACTCTCCCATGGCTGCCTTCTCCGCTAACTCCAGCCCCATCTCACCTCTGACCACCATCCAAAGCTAGAGTAGAAGCAAGTCTAGAGGCCTTCTGGGGAGCTGGCAAACTGTCATCCCGTTGGATAAATGTCCTGTGTACTGGGCTGTGGAGGACCTGGGGGAGGGCAGGAGCTGTGGGCAGGAGCTGCTGGAGGAGGGAGCTGTGGCCTGGGAGTTGGAAGATCTGGGGTGTGCGGTGGGAGCGGAGCCTCAGTTCACAGCCTTCAGTCCTGGCCTGACTCACAGGAGGCTTCCTCCCTGAGCTCCATCTCCCCCACCGGTTTCCATCACCCTGTGTTCAGACCAAGTCTCTGAGGGTTCCTCTCCCTCTCTGATCCCCCTTATCCAGGGTCTGTCACATATCAGGGCTCAGTAATGACTTTTGGGGCTGAGTTCAAGTTGTCACCACTGCCTTCCCCGAGACCTACCATGTGCCTACTAGAAGCCCACCAGGAGTGGCTGTAGGGCTGGGAGGCAGAACCCATGCGGTCAGAAGACATGAAAGAGGCTGATTGTGCTAAGTGCAGTGAGCTTTGGATTTGTAAACTTGGTACAGGGTGGGGGAGAGGAGATCTGCTGCATGAGGGGAGTCCAGGGCAGGTAGGTGAGTGTCATCTTTAAGGGTAGGTGACAGGAGCCACCTGGACTCTGATTGGGATTCCGCTTCCCTGAAAGGCCTGAGGTCTTCCTCCCCAGAAGCCCCACAGCTAGCAGGCTTACCTTGATGATGTCCTCATTGTCGGACTCGCATTCCACTAAGGCAGAGACATCAAGGACCAGGCCGGTCACTTCGATGGCAATGACCTTGACAGGGATGGCCACAGTCCGGCCTGTCAGGATGGCTGTATTGATGATCTCTGTGTCCTACATGGAGGAGAGAGGAAGGAGCCTCTGCTTCTTGTCCCCTTCTCTCCTGGAACAAGTCCACGAAGGCCAGGGTTCCTGGCTGCTGCCACTCCTCAGATGCGTGTTTTTCTCATGGGGACAGCGTGTGAAGGGATAGGCATCCACCTGACCTCAGGCCCTTCCTCAGATGGTCTGCTTCCTTGGACTGCTGCGGCGGCCTCAGGGTCCCGTACTCTGCTGCCAATAAGTACGTCTTTCCAGCCCCTACCTCTTCTTCACAGCATCTTCCAGCCTCCTTGGCTTGGGCAGTGACACCGAGCACATACCCCTGGCCACTCCAGGTGCCCAGGAATGGTCCCAGCAGCACTGCAGCCTGTCAGCCCCACACTCTTTCTAAACCCATTGCTCCTTTGTGCAAACCACACACATCCTTACTGCTGCTCCTTTGCCCCTGAGACCCCCTCTACCTGCAACATCCTCCTCATCTCTGACAATTAGGAGTCTTTCCTCCAACATGGCCTTCGACACTCAAGTGCATGGCCCTCCACAAGGACTTCTCTCACTGCTGTCCTCAGCGTGGGCACAGATACAGAGTACACCCCCCCTCCCGAAGTACACACACGCACCTTCCCACAGGCACACGGACACAGACATCCGCCGGCCTGCTCACCCTCCTGCTCACCATGGCCAGGGGCAGAATGGCCTGCACGTCCCGCTGGATGACTGTCAGCTCTGTCACTGCCCTCTCCAGGTCAGGCAGGGCGCCGTGGCCGCGGTAGTCAATGTGCCACATGATCCTGCGCTTTACTGACTGGCTGGTGAAGTTCTCCATCTCAAAGTCCAGCTGTAGGATCTCCAGGGGACCCTGGCCTTCCCTGCCAGAAGGGGCAGGAGAAGGACAGAGGATGAGGGCAGTGAGCATCCCAGAGGCTCCAGCACCCTTAATGGGGACCCTTTCCCTCCTTGGTGGGTGTCCTCTGAGCCCTGTGAGCCTGTCCCAGTCCATTCAGGTGCCCCGGCCTCAGGCCTGGACCTCAGATCACACACAAGACTGCCTTCTCCACTGAGGATCCCCCTAGATACCTGCTGCATAGAAGCAGACTCACCATGGGGGCAGGGGTGTGCCCTGGGCCCAAGCCACGTCCACAGTAGCTGTGGAGTGCTTTGCCCCAGTCAGCAGCTCCGACGTCACGTGCCATTGGCCACTCCGAGATTTGGTGCCTAGAAGGGTCACACCCTTCTTGGCCTTCACTCTGCAACAAACAGGAGGAAGTGGAGACAGTGGGTCAGGGTGGGAGTCACAGGCTGCCTGCCTGCTCACTACCCGTAGCTGCAGTTGGGGTAGAGGGAGCAGGTGAGTTATCTTAGACTTAATGCTTGGGGAGTCTGGTATCACATGGCTGAGCACGCTGCTGCTCAGTGCGGCAGCAATCACTTCTCCCACGCACTTGGCGTGCTCTTGTGGCACTACTTCTACACATACCCCGGGCCTTTTTCAGAAAGCCCATAAGGACTAGGAGTCTCTTCCTTCTATAGAGCTGAGCTATAACAGCTGCGGGGTTAGAAGAAAAGAACAACTCCCCTCCGTCTCAGTGGTGATAGCTTTTCAAACAGCTAAAGAAAGGAGGAAGCATTCTCTGAGTCTTATTTCCTTTTCCTCCAGCTGTTGCTTTTTGACAATTTTGAGTGACCTCATCACCTAGTCACCCTTCTCCAGACACACTGAACACATTCGAGTAGTGCCCTATTGCAAATGCAGCACTTTAGCTGTGCTATGACTAATGTATAGTTGTTGCCTTCTCCCTTATTCTCTCTGTTCTACTATTAATGTAGTCTGAGACCTTTGATGACTAATCTAACTCATTCATATTTAGATATCAGTCACTGACTCGGAGAAGCCTCTTTCCAGGAATATGTGGTTCTTAATGTAGCGTGCTCAGAAGACAAGGCAACACTCAGAGAAGCTGGAGGCCAGCGCTGCTTGTTTGGGGCAGCATTTTTATGGGGCCTTTTTATGTCTTCAGAACCCCCTAACATGATTCAGACCATGGATCCCCACCGTGAAACATCGTTACATGTTGTGGAGAAGGCACAGGACTTAAGACATCTTTGAATTCATGAACTGTGTTAGTCTCAAGATCTAGAAAGAACTAGGATTCCTGGAAAATTTTCTCCCAACTCTAGAATCAGGGCCAGAGGCCAACAGGAGCATATTCCTGCTCATTTTTGAGGAGCACTGCTCTCTGGTCTCTAAGCCATCTCCTGGGCCCCTGTCCCATCTCTACAAGGGGAGAAGTGCACCAGCTGAGATCTAAGTGCCCTTGCAGCCCCAATCCCATCATTCTGCATATTAGACACATGAAAACCGACTTCCCTTTACCTTGAGTCCATTTCCACAACAGCAACCCCACAGGTATGAACACAGGCAGAGCCTCAAGAAAGCGCAGTGTCTCCTGAGGTTTCTCCAGTGATACACAGAAGAGCTGGGATTAGGCTGTTGGACGGGGATCCAGTTGGGAGCCAGGGAAGGGGTCAGGGACGCCTCTGACTTTGGAAGGAAAGCCAGCCGCGCTCCCGGCCGCTGACCCACAGAGTCCCCCCCTACCTGAGTGTGAAGTGCTCCACGCTGGGGGTGGAGGGCGAGGAGGAGTTGGGGGCCAGGTAGAGGAGGATGCTGAGCACCTCCCCGGGCTTGAGCGGACGGTCGGGTAGGCGGATCATCAGGTTGCCGTCCAGCCGATGCTCCTGCAGCGTCCTCTGCGGCGGCGGGCGGAACAGACTGATGCTGCCTATGCGCAGCAGCGGATGCTGTGTGGGGCTTTCCGCGCGCGCCCCCACTCCCTGTCCGGGGCCCCGCCTCGAGCCCCCACAACCGCCTGCGGCGTCTGGGGCGTGCAGGGTGTAATACAGCTCAGCCTGCTGGGCCTCCCCTGCCACCTCCGGCTCCAGCCCGTCGGGGGACTTGCGGCGAGCGCTGGGCGGCACGGCGGGCGCCGGGGGCCCGAACCAAGCCAGGGGCAGCTCGGCGCGAACGAGGCAGGTGGCCAGGCCCCCGCTGAGACGGCAGGAGCTCTTGACTTCGCGGGCATCGCGGAAGGCATGCAGGCGGACGCAGGGTAGCCGCTCAGTGACGCCGAAGTCGTCCCAGTCTCGGCCGGCCACGTAGAACAGCACCTGTGCCACGGGCTGCGAGGCGGGCACGCGTGCGCGCACGATGAAGGCCCGCACCTTCCAGTTGACTGTCAGGCGCTCTGGGATGTCCAGGGTGCTGGATGGCTGCAGGAGCTCACGCGCCACCACCTGGCTGGTGCTGAAGGGTCCCAGGGACACGTTGAGGACGGGCAGCTCCTTGGTCTGGAACACTACGAAGGGCTCAGAGCGTTGGAGGGAGCCATTGGTGACCGCTGGAGACGGGGGCCGCACCTCCCGCAGGAAGAAGGCCAGCCGCGTGTGCGACAGGCGGTAGCTGACCGGCAGCACCGGGCTGGGGTGCGGCCCCCTCGGGGTGGGGCTGGCTGTGTGGGAGCGGCTGGAAGCTGGAGACAAAGAAGCTTGCAGTTAGGAGAGGCTGAGCTATGCCTGCAGAGCCCCCAGCCACCATGACTCCCACCCCAACAGACAGCATCTGCTCCCCAAGCCCGGCAGGTTGCCTATGACTCTGGGTACCAAGCTTAGTAGGTACCAAGCCTAGTACTTCTTCTTGCCGTGTTAATTACCCTCTTGCCTTTCCATCACTTCTGCTCTGCAACCTGGGGGTGAAGCTTTACTGAGATTCTGTACGCTGGTGTCCACAGGCTCACCTAAGGAGTATGAAGACTGTTTTTGCCTCCTGCTGCCCTTGGGAGAGCTTTCTGAAGTCTCCTGCATAATGGGCTGAGCGGGACTCCAACACAAGAAAGCGATAACTCTCACTGTGACCTGCACCTGCTGTGTGATGTGCGCAGGGCTTGATCAATGCCTGCTGGTGTGAGCCTGTGGTCCATCCTTGGAGTTAGGACTGTTATGGTCTCCATCAATGCATTTGCTCTCCTATCAAGAGCTTTGTTTTTGAGTATCCATTGTTACACTTTACAGATAAAAGCACTAAGGTGTAAGGCACATACACAAGGAGTGTACCCAAAACACCTGGGCAAAAGGGCCAGCAGCATGATTTGAACCTGGGGCCATTCAATTCTCAAATCCTATCCCTTTACTGTACCTGCTGTCTCAGATGGTGCAGTGATGGTAAATTTCTTAGAGATGAATGCCCAAACTACAACACAAAACCCACTTATTTATGGCAAAGTGCCAACACTGCAATTAAACCTAAATACTGAGGTTTTAGTTTAGAAAAAACAACTCATACATTAACATCTTTTGTTTTAAAAACAAATTATATGCATGCCATAGGTTTGCTACCTCTGATGTAGGGTCTCCAGAGACCCCCACCTCTTCCCCTTCCCTCTCACCACACTCTATGTGAACAGGAAATTTTGTCCTCAGTTTCCTAGATGTAAAAGTGGGGCTTGTATTTGAATCTCCTTCCTTCCGGCCCCTTCCCACCCCCACCTAGGAAGCTGCCAAATCCTAGCAATTCTGCCTTGTGGCTTGCTCCTCCGGCCTCTACCTGCAGGACTGTGTCTCTGTTCTGGCCTTGTTCTTGTTGAGATGACGATGTAACACTGCCTAACTGGGTCTCTCCTGACCCTATCTCACCCTCTGTTTGATATTCCTGTCTCCATGGTGACCACAATGGTCCATCCTGCACACACTTGGTGCTCCTCACTCCGAGCTGAACACCTGGTGGCCCTGTCAAGGACCAGGAAAGATCCACAACCGAGGCCTGAAGCAGGAGATGCTTTTGCAGGTCTTCCCAGGAACTTTCTGAGTCATGTCCCTTGAATTTAAAATGAAAGTGATGATAATATTGGTCTTGCAGTGTGCTGTGTTGCCATTTGCTTTGAGAATCAAATAGGAAAACACTATAAATTGCACAACAAGTGCAAATGTATATAGGTTTCATTAAAGAATTTCTCCTGCCTGTGTATACAATAAAATCCAAACCCAGCTCATGCCTGAGTGTGGATCCTCTACCTCTGGCCCCAGGCTTCTCCTTTCTGTGGGCTCTTCCTGAGGCCCCACTGGCAGAATAACCAGACAGCTCACTGTCATCACCCTCCTTTGTCTTCCCTCCTTTGCTCTCCCCTCTGCATCCAACTCTCTTTGTATGAATCTGAACTTCCTCCAAGGTCCAGCTCCAATGCCACCTTCTCTAGGAAGCCCTTCAGGATATCCCTTCAGCTCCTGGGAATTCTCCTAAACTTTGTTATTCTCAGAGGGTCCTCTCACCTCCTGAGACTGGGAGCTACTTGTCCACCAGGCCTTGCCCCAGGCAACCCTTCAACAGGTCACAGTTGATCCACATGGGTTGAATGGCAGACATCTCAGTCTCAAACAGGAGACCCTGAGTCAGTACTAAATACTGCATGCAGTCCTTGCATAGTCATTGTGCTACCGCTGTCACTTGAACGTTGACAGTTTCCAAACATTCAGTTCCTCACCACAGCAGTGAACTGGGAGTTCCGTTCTCAAGGACCCAGGGTCTCCACCTTGTTTTAAAAATCTGCAGGTTAATTTCCTTATTCAAAAATAAGGCATTTGGTTTGAGGTGCTGCAAAGGGCCGACAGGTCAGCTGTGAGAGAAGTGGTACTCCGTCTCACCGCTTCTCCTTAGGGCTCCTCCTGACCAGCCCAGCCCACTGGACTCACTGAGTCCCTGCTCCTCAGGGTGACCCATCACCCCTGGCAGCCCCCACTGCTGCTCAGGAGGTGCGGCTGCAGCCAGATTCTGCAGCCTGCAAGAAGCCTTGCTGCTGCTGGAGCAGAGGTGGACGATGGAGTGTGAGATGAAGTGAGGAAGATATCTGTAGAGAGGAGAGACTCCTGCCCGGTGCCTGGAATCTCCGCTGCATGGCTAGCTCTGTTCCCTAGGCCGTGTCCCTGCAGCCTGCTGATAGGCCCAAGGCATGCCTGTGGGAATCCAGGTGATGTCCTGAGCCAGGGAGTCAGCAGGAAGCAGGAAGCAGGAAGCAGGAAGAAGACAAACAGAGGCTTCACACTCTAAGTCAAGGCCTCTTTCTGCCACAAGCTCCCTGGGAAAGTTGCTTCCCATTTGGAGCCTCAGTTTCCACCTTTAAAATGACATCAGCTCCACCTACCTTAGAGGGATGTTGACAGTGGCTGACAGACTAAGGGATGGAACATGCTCTATGAGCTGCAGAGCAGCCTGCAGGAGAGGGAGTTCTGCTCACGTCGTGGGGATGTCTGGGGCCTATGGGTGCTGGGTCTGGGCTGACTGGTCATCGTGCTTGTCCCTTGGGCTTGGAGAAGGGCAACTAAGCCTGGGGAAGGCTGTGAGTGCTCAAGATGCAGGGTGGAGCGAAGGAGGTCAGAACACTGACCCTGCCCTCCACAGCCATCCCAAGAGCCCCCAGAGGCTGCTAAGTGGCACTTAGGCCCATTTGCCCCCTCTCACCATTCTAACCTGACAGCTGACCATCTGGACCCCTCGGAGGCACGGTGGGGGTGGAGGCCACCAGATCAGCACTGGACTCAGAGGAGCGTGAAGGAAGGGACTGGGGAAATCTGTTTGCATACCCTCTCTGGTTCCTGGGGTGGAGAGTTGGTCTGGAAAATCCAAAGTCCTAGATCAAACTGATCTTGCTGCTCTCTGAATCTGCTGAGCCAGTGTTTCTGCCTTGGGCCTCAGTTGTCTGCTGTTCCCTTCACCTGGAATTTTCTCCTCTTGATGATCACACATCCCTCTCTGTGTTCTCAGTCCATTCAGGGACATCTACCTTGGTCGTCCTGTCTACAGCGTCATGTCACAGCCCCCTTGATCTCTCTCCAGCCCCTTCCCTGCTTCATTTCCTTCATGGCAATCACGTGTCTGCTGCTTGTGCCCACTGGGAATTGATCTTCCTGCTGACACAATCATTGCTTTGCTCCCTCTTGAACTCTGCTGCTTAGAATATGGCCCAGCGCAAAGTAGGTCCTCTATCAGTGCTTGCTGCAAGAAAGAAATTCTCTGAATGAGCTGCCTGTAAGTGACTGGCACATATGGGAGCGATGAATTCACCAACAAGGCATCCAAGAGGACACTGGATGGCCACTGGGGGAGGGTTCCTGGCCCTGGGCCTAGTGGCTCTTGTCCCCTTTCAACAACCTTGCAGAAGAAGACAATGAGTTTCTGATGGGGAAGTCCTCCTATTAAGAAAACAGCTGCTATTCAGAAAGGGGAGCCAGGGAAGACGGTGGAATATTAGCTTTTGTATTTATGTCACTGGAACACAGCATCATGCTCCTGGCCCCCTTGTGCATCATTCCATCCTTCTGGGGTCCAGAGGTCCCTCTATGGGTGGGGCAGGGTGGGTCCCTGAGGTCCTAGCACTAATTAATCTCTGCTCTCCCACTTGTTTGTTCTGCAGTCAGAAAGAAGGTGCAGGTTTTCAGGGACACTGTGTACCTGTATATCGAAGTGTGTGCCTGGGTTTGTGTTAATTCACACACTGGCCTGCATTTCAGCACTGAGCTCTGGCCGCTGAGCATCAAGGAGCATGCACAAGCTTGGGGAGAAGAAGGTGCCTGAAGCCTTCTTGAAGGCAGACTTGGTGGGTTGGGGGTGGAAGACGAACACGGAGACTGGACAGAGATCAGGCCAGGCCCAGAGGCAGGAGAGAGGACAGAACTGCTTTACAAAGGAGTCAGGTGGAAATGGTTACTTGGACCCACCTTGGATATGCTCAACGCAAAGGAGTTGCCTGTAATCTTACACTGATAGGGGAGTGGGTACATGCAAACACACACATGCACAGGGGCTGGCATGTGTGCCTATTCCTTGGCCAGGCAGGGTGCCCACTGCAATCCTTGGCATGGTTCTGAACCCATCCTGACTCTGCTCGCAGACCTGAGCCCTCCCCCACCCAGCCCTCTGTGCTTCTGTTTGGGCCCCAGCTTGCCCCAAAGCAGTGCAGGCTTGGTCCTGTCTTCTGTGGGTGGCTCTGCTCTGCCTCAGGCTGCAGGAAGCACCTGGGTCCCTCTGGCCCTTGGCCCCTGTTGCCATCTTCTATAGAAAGGACTTCTCTGTGTCGTCTCTGGCTCAGGATCAGGTGTGATGGGCTGAACTTTGTCCCCTCAGTTCATATGTTGAAACTCTAATGCCCAGAGTCTCAGAATGTGACTGTTTGGAGCTAGGGTCTCCACGGGGAGAATGAAGTTAAAATGAGGCTGTAAGGGCCCTTAACCCAGGGTGATTGGTGTCCTTGTATGGAGACAGCAGGGCAGAGATTTGCACAGAGAATGGTGTGAAAAAGAGGAGACAAATAGCAGGAAGGAAGCCCTCCCCAGGAATGACACTGCCATATCAGGACCTTAGGTTTCCGGCCTCCAGAATTGTGAGAGATGCATTTCAACTGCCTAAGCCACCCCACTGCGGCACTCAGCTATGGCAGCTCTCTCAAACTAATACACGGAGATTGGCTATTTTAACCCCTCACTG